AATGATATTATGGTACTTACATGTAACTGTGAATGAATGAATAATGATGATCATGTTTTGTTAATAGTTTCGAGTCGAATATTATTATGTATTTTGATTATGGATAAATTGATTAGAGAATGAGAAATTCCTTGTTATTGGAGGAATCGGAGTGAGCTACTTGATACTCCAATACTTTGGGATAAACGCCATTTATTCGGAATAATAAGTTGAATATGTTAATATATCTTAAGTGAATCGATATTATTTGACATTAGTTTACTTTAAATTTATTTCATTGTAAGAGTACGAAAATTTATTGTGAAATATATATGATAAAGTTGATTGACATTTCCTCTCAAATTCCTCATTTCTTTATTGATATTGAAGAAACGTGACAATTTCATTATTAATAAAGATATTAATATCATTTTATACACGCGCTTATAAAACTATCAATAAAAGGTTTTACTTTTAATAAATCCATTATAGATACCTACATCCAATACATTGTCATTTATTTAATTTTCTTCTTTTTTTTTTTTTTTTTTTTTTTTCTCTCGTTTTTCGTTTCTTTTCGAAAATCAATGAATCTTATGTGTATCTCATGCATTTTTATCAATATTTTAGATCAACCGATTATTATACGATAAATACATCAGATTTCATTGTACTATTATAAATCCATAAATTGATTTTTTATTTATACGAGTTAAATATTCTTGATTAACTTTTAATTTAAATACGATTATGAGTATTAAATTATTTGATAAAGCATTAAAGAGATATTTTCAAGCTATTATTTACATTAATTCATAATGGGTGCTTGTCTTATCAATCACATTGTTACAATCAACCATGTCGGCTTTAATATCTTTTATCTATACTTATTATATTATTTGTGAATAAAGTAAAACAATGTTTATATAAAGAAAATTAATTAATTCGAATTATTCAGTTCATAGGATTCCGTAGTCATTTTTGCATATATATATATATTATGGTAAAAAGGCTCGATTGATTCAACATTAACATATTCTATCTTATCAACGTCTTATACAATAATATCGATGACATTATACGTAGAGTAACATAGCTTTTAAAATATTTTTCCATACCATTTGTTTATTGTGTATGAAGATCTTATACGACGACAGATTTTATAGCGTAAGTAATTAGGTATTTTTTTTTTTTGTTCAATTTAAATTCTACGTTGTTTTTTTACTTTTTTTTTTTTTTTTTTTTTTTTTTGTGGACTTTAAGACATTATAATATTCTCGTGAAAACGATCTTATTGAAAAGAGTAAATTCAACGATTCGGTGTATAAAAATCAAATGCAAACATTGACCTGACTCACGAGAAATCGGATAAAAGAATATGTAAAGGAGAGAATATAATGGATATAGCAAATATAAAGTTCATTTCCTTGAACAAAAAAAAAAAAAAAAAAAAAAAAAAAAAAAATTATTTAATTCTTTCATAAACGATACACTCGATGACACACTGTTAAAATTAATTGTATAGTATAATACCAGTACAAATGTAAATTTATTTTCCAGTAACCTATCATTGAATTAAGGTAAAATCTCATTTCAACATAATATCATTCTATTTCAAAAATAAAAATTGAAAAATTAATCAATAAAATTATCGTACATTTAAGGCTTGATTTTCTCATTCAATGCTTGAAAATATAATTTAATGTAATTGAAATTATAATCGAATAATTTTTATTAATTATACTACCTTTTAGGCTTGAATTTTTGTTTCTTTATGATAATTTAATTCCACGTGTTTGTACATAATGAATGATAGATTAATATAAGTACGTTTAATAATGATTATTACAGGTACTCAATTTGTTAATTATATATTACCAGTAATTATGCATGATTGCGTATAGGAAATAAAAAGAACGAGTAAAATATTCATAGGACAATTAATGAGTAATTAATTTTTAAAAGAAAGCCACGTTAGTGAATCCAAAATTATTTAAAAGTTTTACTTAATGGCAAAAAAAAAAAGAAAAAAAAAAACGAGAAAGTGCTTACCTTTGCATTACCTTAGCGTACACGTGCATTCGACGCTTTTATTAATTTTTGTACTTTGTGTAAATGATTGAAAATGATAATATGTATCTTCGATGATTATATTTATGCTCAAATATCGCTCATGAAAATAATATTTAACACGAGCAAAAGTTTTCAATATTTCTGTAAATATTTACGCCGAATAAATTAAAATGTCAACGGAGACGCGAATAGCATAATAACGCATAAGCATGTTATTGTTTATTTTCTTAATATTAAAATGAATTTGAATTATTACAATGATCCTCTACATACACTTAACGAAATATTAAGTTTCGATGTTTTTCAACTCGGTTTGCTAATAATACACGGCTCGAGTAATTTAATAATTAATTGTACAATAGTTTTCTATTACTGTACTCTATGCATACGCATTGAATTAATTTCATGCCGTTTACTTATAAGGCTCGCATTCTAATTAACAATCCGTGCTTTCATCATAAAATACAACAAGTTTACATTTCGACAAAACAATATAATTTCAATAATAATGACACATTACATTTACAGTTTATTCAATTAAAGATAGAAAGGATTATACAGATTAAAAAGATGCTGTTCGTGTGAGTTTAATGTTTGTCATCTGACGCTAAAAGGTAAAACGTCAGTAACTCGTAAGCAATTGTGTGGACAGAGCAAGAGCAATAGAGGGACGAGAGTCGATTAGCATTTCTTAAGATTCATCTTTGTATTTAATCCACGATTGTAGTTTTATACAGAATACGTCATTTATATTAGTAGCTTTTTATTACGACTTTTGTAACTTATATTTTATAAAATATTGGCGAATAGAGGCGTTTCAATGTCGTGTTAATGTAAATGGCTCGAATGGTTTAGTTGAAATGTAATGAAAAAAGCTCCATTTATAAGTACCTCGAGCCGAGATAATTAATTTATTAATGGCGTATATGGGGGTTCTTTATCTTTAAATACGATCACGCATCTGGAACTTTCGCCTCTCGCTTTATGCGCATAATGCATAAATGGTTTGATTATTTCGTTGGTAGCAATTTTGTCGTTCGATTGAACGGAATTCGAACGTACTCGCTGAGCGTTGAGCTTGAAGTTGGCAATGTAGTTATAGAGTTATCCAGTTGTTTTATATCGATTAGGAAGAATAAAAAATTTTCACGAGAAAGGGATTCGCAATGAAATAATGAAAGTGATAGGAACCCAGGAGAGGCTCTAAGACAATAAAATCAACGAAAATTCTTGGGAGAAATTACGAGTCTTGCGACAATCGCACCTAACCAATACTGGCTTGTTATTGGCACTTTAAATTACGCTAATCGCTCCGTGTGTCTCAATTACCTGCTCGATCGTCTTATTCCCTCCTGCGCGCAATCGCGCTAAACTATGAAATAATTGCCGGGTGCGAGTATCAACGAATTTCGAAAAGTTCGCAGACCGCGAGCGTAGGAGCTAAATCAATTGGCGCGCGAAATCGAGCTTAGGCGCATCATGTGTCAACGTTCCATGAAAGTGATTGCATCGCTACGACCTGGAGTGGAGAGTATTATTCGCGAATACTTTTGAGCAAAGGATAATATTTGCTCGATCCCTCATTGCTGTTGCTTTGTTGCACTTTGGCATTTCACGTCACCGCTTATCTTCTTCTCGTTTACGCTTTTGTTTTTCGATCCGCTATACAAACTCTGTTTTGTTGTTTGTTTATTGTTTATTGTTTATTGTTTATTGTTTATTGTTTTTTGTTTATTGTTTTTTGTTTTTTGTTTTATATACAGACGCCAGTAATTTTCGTTGAGATTTTTTTTTTCGCACGATCGAGCGAGACGTAGCCGATAAACGGGACGACCTAATTACCCAATTATTACCTAATTACTCGTCGCCGTAATATAGCCGACATATTGGAATTCCCGACTTTTCCAATACTTTTGGCCTTTAAGAGAATGAGTTTGGCTGGAAAAACTATATCTATCACTTACCAACGATATATTATACAAATACATATCGTACATATTTGATATTTACAAGGTTCATTCGTATTTTCTCCTTTCGCGCTACTCTATCATTATTATTTCGTACTGGAGTACTTTATCGAATACCATACCATAGCACATCATTATTATATAAAATTCCATACATCTTGTAAGATTATCTGCTTAATCGATAACGTCGCTCACAAGTTCACGCATTTTTACGAAACTGCGCGTCGATGTCAAATAATTACAAACGATTCGACTCACAATATCCATTCGCCCTTAACCATTATATCACCATTTGACGTTTCATGTTATTCATTCGTGAACGCTCGTGAATGCTCGGTAATTTTATACTTATCGCTCTAATCGAAAATTAATAGCCACGGTTTTATCCGAGGTGCTCATCTCACTTGAAACTCCATGTTCGCGACAGCATAATTTGTTCCTAAGATCGATAGATGGGAAAGCGACGAGGGCACCCGAAATCCAAACGGTTTTCACAACATTTCGTTGATAAATTATTATTACGGCAGAGTGCAGTGACTGAAGTCGACGAGGTACGGCCAAGTTATGTCATCGAGGTGAGCCGATCGAGTGCACTTAAGACACGGACAATTGTAAGTATTAAAGTCCGAAATGAAATCTCGGTCACAATCTTGTTTGATCGGTGGATTACGGGGGTTGGAGGGGCGTGGACGTTAGGTACACCAATTAGTCAATACGAATGCGCCGTATGTTGATAGCGTTGGTTTCCGCTTCGGAGACCGGATACGATGATGAGAGATGTGGGTCGGGTTCGTGGTCCAGCGATACGAGGAGGGAGCCGCGGCAATTCGTGGGTAAGGCGTGAGGTCAGAAACGGCCGAGGATGGGGCTGGCGAGCGGTTTACGCACGGGCCCTCGTAATGGTGGGATGGGACCCAACAGTCCTGGTGGGGACCACATCTATATAAGCGACGGCGAAGGTGCCCGTCTCTCCATAAGCTAACAGTTTCTTATAAGCGAGTCAGCCCGAGTCCTCGATTTTCCCGTGCAAGGTGAGTGTCGGCTCCGTGGCTCCCCTCCGTGCCTTTCTTTATTCTCTCGTTCCCCACCACCATCATTCATCAGGCTTTTAATCGAGCTTTGGCCCTTTAAGAATTCAGTCGCTCCGTGCCGCAGACTCTTTACACTCGTTGGGTCGAGGCGACGAGCGAGCGAGCTCGTGCTGAAAGTGTGCTCGACGAAGCTCAAGCTGACGCTTCCAATCCCAGCACATTTAATATTGATTTAGTGTACGTTAGTTGCTCCTGCCTCCACCACCACCACCACCACCACCACCACCACCACCACCATCCCCTTCCCCTCTCGCCCCCAGTCTCTCATACAATGTCCCTCTATCAAACACGCACACAAACACTTCGATATTCAATTCCCGGTGCAACCGAATTTTTATTGTCTTTCCCGACCGGTGGATCACAGTTTTGTATACATAACGCTCAAGATCTTGAGTTTGTCAGACTTTTCACCTCTAAATGATTATATCTAAAAATAATTATAGATTTTTGTCACGATACATCATTGCAAAATTTATTAATGATGTTTATGTTTGTTTTTTCATTTTTCTTTTTTTTTTCTTTTTTCTTTTTTTTTTTCGTAGAAACACTCGCTGCAGTCGCGACTATTTTTTTTAATTTTTCCATGACGAAAATATCGCGTAACTTAGCCAAACCTTTCATTTATTTACGAAATATGTACGCGTTGGAATGATTTGTTTTAAATTTTAAATCGCCTGCCTCATCATTATTATCGCTATTATTTATTTGCTAATAGCCATGGGACAACTTACACTTTAATTTGTTAGGCATTGTCGCGTATTTTACTCTTTGATCGAAACGCGGAAGCGAGAGCAGCGCAGATAATATCAATCGTAGATATCGTTCCCCTTTTAATTATTTCCCCCATTACTTATTCCCTCGCATTCAAAGATAAAAGTACGCGATACGAGATGCCGACGATTCAAATAAGCCAGTAAACATTGTAGAATGGCCTGGCACTATAAGATTCTCAAGAAAGTTGATTGAGCGTGAAGAGCCGCCTCGATCTCATCCCGCGAACACGAAAAAGAATGGGACGCACCGTCCACGCCTTCCCCGAACGATAATAAAAAAAAAATTATATAATAGTCTTATCGATGATTACACAGATGATGCTGCTGCCGCTGCTCCTGGTGGCTTTGGCGGCGTACGCAAATGCCGCGATCAGCGAGGTGCGACCCCACAGCAACCGCCCTGGCAGATTTCTGTCCCTACCGGTGCCGCAGAAGTGCGCCAACAGTGAGTTCCTATTTGCTTTATCGCCACTGCGCTCTTTTTAATGTCTTTTAATGCTATAATGGTATGAGGTGGGTGGGGAGAATTTCGGGACGAAGGGTGTAAGGTGACGGAAAGCTAACGCGCCGGACCAAGATACGGAACTTTTTGGCTTATGAATTTCAATGTACTCCAATTGATAGTTAAACATTGTCGATTAGCCTTGTCCGAGACCATCGCGACCAATTAGCCAATTCGGGCGGAATAGATTGAGAAATTCTATTTGAAAAAGAAACGAGAAATAAGCGCGCTATTGAGAAGTAACTTTGTTGCGGTTGAGGACTTGTGGAGGGAATGGTGGCGGGTGACGGAAGGTGGAGATGGTAGTGAAGGGAGATGATTTGGCGGGAGGGGGGGGGGGGACAATGGGGAGCGTTCAAAGCACCTCGACATCGCCTTACTTTTGCTTTAGAAACGCGAAATCTCTATCGCACTACGACATCGTAACTTCGCTCTTCACTCTCGCTCTCGTGCTGTTAAAAACTTATCGAACCCTTTTAACGGCGAACCTTCCATCACGCTCGTCGCGCACGATTTTTCATGCCGTGAACATCCGTGCGTGTAATTGACTGCCGAGACGATTGTCAAAGGCCGCGCGCGCACTAGCTAATTAATGACGATAAGTAGCGACGCGAGTGAATCCTACTTTACGATCCTCTAATCAATTAATCGAATCTAACAATTCGATCCGTCTAATTGAATGACCTTATTCTGCTGAACGCGTTGCGGTAAGAAGACAAAAGCACGCGTCGTTAATCTCCGAGCGATAATATAATTTATCATGCTGGCCAAGGGGTATGACATGGCTTTACTGCGCTCATTGGGATTATATTCATTAGCGAAGATTTTCATTGTAATGTTCTCTGCTTCTGGGAATAGCCGGAATAGCGGGAATAAAAACATGGAAAATGCGAATAAATTATGGAGAATATATATTATACGCAGGATGTAATTGATCGAATGGATAGCAATTAGATGACTGTCGTGCAAAATTATTTTCTGTTGCGCTTTCAATGAACTTATGATTTGTTAATTAATTTATATACGCATCAGCATGTAATATTAGTCTCTCTACACTAATCTTTGTTTTTCAAAACATTAAGGAGAATAGCGGCATTTTCACACATCGCTAACAACATTATTGAGAACATACCATACAATTATTTGATTGGAAGATTATCTGGTTTTACGTAGATATCGTTGTCTAGTTGAACGCTAATAATCTGAGAACCTAAATAAAACTATAATTAAGCATCTACTTGAAATTACAAGATTTTATTGATAAAGTGTTTATGAGAAACTATATTGTTTCGAAGTAGCTAATGCATAGTTAAATTACAATTCAGGGTTTATGAAAATGATCTTACCACTCGTGCGTCAACGATTTATTCAGACTTGCCATTGAATTTTTAAACAAATATTTATTATTAATAAGGCTTTCGATTAATACATATAAATGCATTGTATGCATACACTGTCATTCAATCAGTAGAAATTCAATCGATGAAAATTCATTTTAAGGCATTGAAACTTAATCTAATTTTTAATAATAAACATTTAATAATAACAGCGGCACACCATCTAATCGCATTTATATATTAAGAATCTCAAATGATATCCGCATATTATTATTACCGGTTATTTATATCAACATTCGCCACTTTAAACAATTAGTTTAGCGAGACTATAGTTAGAGTTACGTTTGACATCTCAACGAAGACAAGAAAATTTCAAGCATAATCTTTCGCATTCACGATTATCCGCATTTTCGTCTGCGTGCGTGTATTTCTCATAACAAAAATCACATTTACTCGCTGAGACGATAAATTCATCAAAACCTCTGCTTAAGCCGTAAATTTAATCTGTCAATATCAACGGAAGCTGAGTCGCGAAGAAAAAGCAACCAAAAGAGGACTCGGTCTTGTCTATTATAGATTCAAGGGCACGAGGTATGATTTCTCATAGGCGCGTCAACGACGAGCGAACGCTCGTTTTTAGCCTCCGGATGGTCCGGATGCTGTTTCACCGCGTAAATCTTAGCCGTGTACTTTCTTCACGGGCTGCGATACTCGCTCGTCAACATCAACAAAGGCAGTCTCGACTCCATGCGGCTAATTCCCGAGATGCTTTCAGCGGTCGCACGGTTTTCTCATTCGAAAACAAAACGCCCTTTTCTTTCTTCTTGCACACGGCCCACTTGGACAAGCAATTATTTCGCGAAAAATCGGCAAGAACTTTGTGCAAGGAGCTTGACGCGTTCGAGGTGGGAAGGCTGGATGGAGCCGGGCTTACGCGACTTATAAACGGCGGCCGCTTTTCCGCCTTCGCTCTTGCCGACTTTCGACAGGCACGTCGACTTTCCCTTGCAAAAGAGCAACATTTTCCTTTAGCCTTTAGCATCCTGATAAATGCGTTGGCACTAACAATTGGCCATTAAACTTTATGCCTAAGGACACTACTAAAGTACGTGGATTATCGTACTTTTAATGTACTATTTTATTAAAATGTACATAGACTTTATTAGTCTCTTATTGGCTTTTTACATTTATTACGAAGCTACTCGAGTGGAGAGCTTTTGTAACTTACAATATTCAGCTGTTTCCCGTAGAATTAAGACGTCGAGCAATATTTTAAAACGGTTATAAATTATTAACGGAATATGTAAAAATTAATAATAAAATTCTTGACGAGTGAAACGAAATTTTTATAGCTTTTTATGTTTGTTATAGTTGGCTAAACCGTGTTTTATTATTATTAAAACTTTCATGCGATATGAAGGGAATGCGCTTCCTATGGTGGATGTATTAGTGGAAGAATAGTAGATAAAGATATGCGATTGGATTTTCTAAAGTAAAATAAATCGTTGCATTACGGTGTTTTTCAAATTTACTCTCAATCTAAAGTACAGTAAGTTCAATAAAATACGTTCATGAATGAATGTCTTAATTAATAATAGTAAATAAAATAAAAGCAAAACAAGAATAAAACGAAAAAGAGGGAAGGGAAGGGAAGGGGGGGGGGAACAATCGATCGAGGTAATGAAGCTTTTTGGAATTGAATTGGAAACAACGAATAGAATAATTAAATTTACAAATGGAACTCGTAAAGTAAAGGCGTAGTGAGAGATAAACGAATAACTTTTGAATTATTACGAACGCCAGTTAAAGGTAATTTTCAAAGAACTTTACGAAACTTTCCAATATCTTGCTTTGACGCAAATTTTTATTTTTGTCCTTCCAACTTTGCCAAGCTTGACTATTGATTTTATAGAAAATTCATATACATAAAAAGTTTGGCTTTTTAAAGAAGCTTAAATATTTTTCGTCTAATGTTATTGTATTGAATTGTTATCCATATAAATTATTAACGTTTTTATTAATTTTTCTGTCTTAAAAATGCATGTTTAATATTATGTGCGCGATTATTGCATTATTTTTCTTTACAGCATCAACTATTTTTCTGAAATTGAGCGAATTATTTAGTCATGAAGTACGTTCGCGTTTTAATTCTGCACAAGTTTTGTAATAACTTTTGCTTCCTTTTCGCACGTACATTACATTTCCCACGATAATATATCGGCTTCGAATAAAAAGTAAATTATTTAAAAGGTAAATATTTTTAAATATTAATATAAATAATCTTTATATATATAAATAATTTTAATTAGTTATTTTGAACTCACGATGTATTGTGTAATGCATCGCATCCATATTATGAGTTATAGATTATACCTGACGAAGGGATAGAAAAATATTCTCTCCTACATATTATTTATTATCATTAGAATATATGAAACGTAATTATTGAATAAAAAGCAAATGAATAAAAAAAAGAACAATCCTTATATTTCCTAATTTTTATTGTTTACTGTTTTTTTTTTTTTTTTTTTTTTAATACGAAATTAACTTTTACGGACAATTAAAATGGCTCCACAAAATACATTTGATATTCTTAATGAAAACAGCAATAGAAACATTATAATTTTTTATTAGAATTTATGGCACAATGATATACATATAATTAATTAATCATAAGGTTAAAATTAAAGAATTAAAAAAACTCGTTTTCAATTTATTCCATTTACTGTGCTATATGTAATATGTAAGGCGTAGAATCTTATTTTCAACGGTAATATTTCGTAATTACGACTGGACACGTCTCTCGACTCTCTGTCGAAATCTTTTTCTAGCATTCAGTAGTTAAATTTGATCGTCGCGATAAAAATTCTCCACATCTCGTATGATTATTTAGCCGTCTGACAAATATCAAAATCTTACTTCACTTGGTATAAGTAATGCGTAAGTTAAAAAACTTATAGCCTTTAAAGCAGCGCCACGAGAGTTTAAAGAAATTTTAAATACCAACGTACCAGCGGCCATTGAAATATTGATGCCCTGAATGTGTCTGTCTATCTTTCTTTCTTTCTTATAAATTTTTTTCGACTTCCGTCGTTAAAACTTGCTATTAATTTATTTATAAAAGTCTGTATTTTCGAGTAGCCACGTCGATTTCTAATTTTTCACAGGCTATGCCAGTCTGTATCTGTAATATTAATATTCTTTATAATTGCCGAGATAAATATATACAATAATAGATATTATTACAATTGGATCGATTGCTTTTATCGTCAGGTTTTCATGAACATTAATTATTATCTCGTATCAATATATATATATATATATATATATATATTATAAGATAAATCATTGTTTCATTAATCTTCTTATTTCATTACTTTACACAGATTTTTTTTTTTTTATCTAATATATTGGCATCGATAAAGTCAGCATTGCTATTTAAAGCGAACGATCGTTATAAAAACATCATGACTATAGTATAAACAAGTTACGATACATTTAAGAGTGAAAAATAATGAGAATGAACGCCTATTGTATTAGAGCCATATTAAAAAGCAAATATTCTAATCATAAGTAAGTGTTGGAATGGCAAAAAAAGTCGTGGGG